CAATGGTTTTCAAGTACAGTCCAATATTTTACAATGGTTTTCAAGTACAGTCCAATATTTTACAATGGTCTTCAAGTATAGTCCAATATTTTACAATGGTTTTCAAGTACAGTTCAATATTTTACAATGATTTTCAAGTACAGTCCAATATTTTACAATGGTCTTCAAGTATAGTCCAATATTTTACAATGGTCTTCAAGTATAGTCCAATTTTTTTACAATGGTCTTCAAGTATAGTCCAATATTTTACAATGGTCTTCAAGTATAGTCCAATATTTTACAATGGTTTTCAAGTACAGTCCAATATTTTACAATGGTCTTCAAGTATAGTCCAATATTTTACAATGGTCTTCAAGTATAGTCCAATATTTTACAATGGTCTTCAAGTATAGTCCAATATTTTACAATGGTCTTCAAGTATAATCCAATAAAGTCAAACACTGACTTATTCCTGACCAGAAGAGACATTCTCCTGACATCCCACCGAAAACAGTTTATTTAATAAATCTAGCACTTTTAAACTCCCATCTGGAGAGTGAAATAGTGGAGGCAGGATCCATACATAGCTTAAAGAAAAGGCACGATAAAGCACTTGTGGGAGGGAGAGAGTGGACCTAGTAACGACCAGCGACGAGGCAGAGCCAGGAGCTACGCCACGACCCCTGCAACCACAAATAGGTGATTACAAGACTCACGAAATCGTAATGACACGATTGCAAACAAACCATACCAAGGGCGGGGACAGAACCCGCTAACGCGACGGTCTGGAGTTTTGAGACTCTGATCGCGGGTTCCATCCCCGCCAGTGGTAAGGTGATTACAACCTTAAATCAAGAAAAACTCTCTTTCAGGAGGAAAAAAAAGTTAGAACTAAAAATTTAAAATTGACCATAGAGCGAGTTGCGAGTTGCGAGTTTTCCAGCTATTGTACCGAACCAATAAAAGTTGCGCTTCACATAGGGTCTTCAAGAAACTTTTCATCCATTTCATACGATGTATCGGCCATTAACTATTGGTGCTGTTTAAATTCCTTTATTTCCAGCAGGGGAACGCGTTTAACCTGTAGGGGCCATATAGCACCTGTGGAATAAAAGACATTCAAGTTCGATCCAAGAAAGGGGAGGATAAGTCCTGTTTCTTGGATCAAAACCTTCAGGAAGTTTAATCCATTTATGTAATGCCAAATATTGCTATGAAAATTAGACACATGTGCAACATCTGGGTATCTTTATTGTAGACGTTTCGCCATCCAGTGGCTTTATCAATACAAATTCCAGGACATAACTTGAAGACAGTAGAACTATATACAAAAGGTGAGGTAATCAGTCCCTCAGCCTTCCTTAGAGTTGGTGTGAAGAGCACCGTGGTCGTGAAGAATCTGGAGCACAGACAATGTTAGGTTAGGTAAGGTTCGTCAAGAAGCGGGACATGTGGTTCCTGAAGTGAGTCTTGGTCTGATAATGACCTTTGGAGCTTTTGGTTATCTGACCGAGGCCTTCCGCTGGCTTACAGGCAAGAAGGCTGGCGTTTATATACTGGCGTCAGGTGGAAAGGGACGTGTAGCAGACGAAGACACTGTCACTGGTGGGTGGGATTCCCCAGTGGAAGTAGGTCCTACCCGAGTGACGGGTTAGTAGTAGTGAAGAAGGTTGTGGAGATGTTCTCTGAACCAAGATTCACTGATGTTGCAGTGTCTGACAAACTGTACATGAATGATATAAAATACCGACAATAAAGACGTCTACAATAAAAATATCTAGATGTGCAACATCTGGGTATCTTTATTGTAGACGTTTCGCCAATAAGCGGCTTTAATCAATTCAAATTGAAAAAGGTAATTTGAAGACAGTACAATTATGTACAGTAAAACTATATCAGACACTGCAACATCATGGAATCTTGGTTCTGAGGACATATCCACAACCTTCATTTCTACTACTGACCGTCCCTCGGGTAGGACCTACTTCCACTGGGGAATCCCACCTACCAGTGACAATGTCTTCGCCTGCTACCTGTCTTTCACCACCTGACGCCAATACATAAGCGCCAGCTAACCTTGTACTTCAGATTCTTCACGACTACGGTGCTCTTCACCAACTCTAAGGCTGAGGGACTGATTACCTCACCTTTTGCAGAAAGTTCTACTGTCTTCAAATTATGTCCTTAAATTTGTATTTATAAAGCCACAATAAAGATACCAAAAAGCTGCACATGTGTCTAATTTTCATCATGTCAGTATTGTATACCTGGAAAAGCCGCGGTCACTTGTGGTGGACCAGTGCCTGATCAACCAGGCTGTTACTGTTGGCAGCACGTAAACCGACGTACGAACCACAGCACGAAGGCAGCCAGGGATCTATTAGTAATCCCCCTTATGTATGCTGAGAGGCAGTTAAACAGTCTTGGGCCCCCTGACACTTACGGTGTTGTCTCTCAGCGTGCTCGTGGCGCCCCTGCTTTTCATTGTCGGTATGTTGCACCGCCTGCCTACCCTTTTGCTGTCGTAGGGAGGAATTTTCGTGTTCAAATTTGGTACTAATCCTTCTAAAAATTTCTAAGTGTATATTATCACATATTTCTCTCGTCTCCGTTCCAGAAAATACAAGTCAAGCAGCTTCAACCGTTCCAGTAATTTAGGTGTTTTATTGTACTTATGTGTGCCGTGAAGATTCTCTGTACATTCTCTAGGTCAGCAATGTTGCCTGCCTTGAAAAGCGCTGTTCGTGTCCAGCAGTATTCCAGCCTAGAGAGAATCGATTTGAAGAGAATCATCATGGGCTTGGCGTCCCTAGTTTTGAAGGTTCTCATTATCCATCCTATCATCTTTCTTGCAGATGTGATAGATACATTGTTGTGATCTATCTCTATCAACATCTCCAACCTTCTTCTAGGTAGGAGACACCGATGTTGAAATTCTGGAGATCAAAATGGCTTTCTAAAATTATCTCATGGAAACCAATTTCAGGAACTGCCTATCTAAAATTAAGCAGAAGGCATCTGCTGAATTGTTCCGGAATCCTTCACCTAATAATAGTTTTCCATGGTTGAAAATTTGAAGCCGATCGGATAAGGCACTGTTGGAGCAATTTAGTGGTAGACGAGAACACTTATTTAAAATGTGTCGGGTTTGGTGCCGGTCATTTCTCCATGTGGAATCCATAAGTGGGTCGCCTGTGTTCGATCCATAAGCATCAGAGTGTAGTCTACGAAAATTAGAAGCAGTGAGAAGGTGACTAGAATCCTAAACGTGTTTTGAAAGAAAAGAATTTGTTTTAGCTCAACTTGAAACAAGATGTTGCAGCGGTGGCAGTGTTGAGATGCGTTGAAAAATGGTCTGAGCAATGAATACCCTTGAGGTAAATTGGGAGGTTATGAATGACTGACCGAGAAGCTGAGTCTTCCTCTTTATTGCCCTGAACACCATCGTAGCCAGGGACCCAGCAAAAAATGATTTCTATATACTTATCAGAAATGTGACATAACCAAAGTTATAATACAAAAACGATGCGATAAGGAAAGTCGAATTTCTAGGTAGTTTGTAACACCAAGAATTAAAAAGATCTACGAGGTGGACATACAGTGCTCGTCATGGCATTATGCCGGGTGAGCGCCCCGGCATAATGCCGTGACAAAAATCAAAGGCATATCATACAGGATGATCTTTTTTCGTCAGTGCATTCTGCTGGGTAACAGCCATTAGCATGATGTCTCGGCCTGTCGCCACACCTCACAGTGATTTCTCATTGCTCACATGGCTGCCGTGGTGAGAGGAAGTGTTGCACTGTTGTTTCTCATCCGCCCCATCTTTTGACCGGTGTTCCCTTTGGTTTTGGGGCTATACATGTTTGATTATGGGTAAAAGGAAGTCTTTAACACCTAAAACTATAGCTCAAATCATAGGACTTCACAAAGCTGGGCACCAGACGAAAGAAACAGTGGGAATGTTAGTGTGTGTGAGAGTTCAGTGAGGAACTGGGTGCAGCGTTTAAGGCTGGTGGCGGTGTCGAGTTACCGTCTGCCAAACCTCGGCCTGGCCCCTTGAGGAAGACTTCTCTAACTCTCTAACTGCTTCCTTAACATAGTTAAGGTACGAACAGATGTCTTCCTTAAGGGGCCAGGCCGAGGTTTGGCAGACGGTAACTCGACACCGCCGCCAGACTTTAAACGTTGCACCCAGTTCCTCACTGTTTCTTTCGTCTGGTGCCCAGCTTTGTGAAGTGCCTTTGTAGTCCCCTCTCTTGTAATTTTGGCTTCGTTCATCCTCCCCTTCCTGCTTTCCTCTCCACTTGTAACTCTAATATATATCCGATGCTCAGGACCACGTGGTCACTGGCCCCGAGGGGTCTTTCATATGTGATGTCCTCAATATCTGCACTACTCAAGGTGAATACTAAGTCCAGTCTTGCTGGTTCATCCTCTCCTCTCTGTCTCTGGTAGTGTCCTTTACGTGTTGGTACATGAGGTTTCCCAGTACGACCTGCATCATCTTAGCCCTCCACGTTTCTGGTGTAGCACTTACACTGTTATACAGTCTTGTCCTGAGATAATTTGTTATTATTCCCACGTATGTAGCTTTTCTTATGGTTACATTATTCAGTTTATTAAAAATATTCTTTTTGCGATGAACCTTTGATGCGATGACTACGAGGGTTATTTATTTGTGATGCATTTTAGATGCTATGAAGAGTTTAAAAATAGTTTTGGACTTAGGGTTATAAAAATTATTTAAAAAAAAAAATAAGAAAAACACAGCCACCCACTCAGATAATGCTTCACTCACCCGCTGTTTACGTCCATCCACTCTTGTAATGCCGTTCAGAGATTCTTTCATTTAATTTTACCCTCCCATTATTCTGGCCTGTTTTTCAAGTTGTTGTATAAGTGTTCTGGGAGATATGACGAGGAAAGTCTTCTTGTAATCCGGCGAGATGAAGTTTGCTTCTCCCTTTCTTTCCCATCCGAACATGAATAAGGGCAAAAATATATTTCCTCCATTACAGCACAATGGGTGAGCAGATAGCGTGGTGGACGAGGTGGGCGTGGCTGTGTGTATTGGTTGGCGAGCGCTGTGTAGTGGGCGTCTGTGTACCCCAGGACGGAAAGACAGTTTTCTTCACGAAAGGTGACGCCGTTATTACTCAGCTTCTGCCTCTTCACTATGGATCTCGCTGTGACCAGGTAGAGTCACCAGCTCTCTAGTCTATAAATTATGATCTAAAGCTTGTTTTTCTGATGAATATTTACACCAGGAAATGAATTTTACCGACCTGAAAAATTGAATATTGTCACACACTAGTAATGTAACACACAACTCGTTACATGTACACACTTCTTCCCTCATACATATATACATATATATATATATATATATATATATATATATATATATATATATATAATATATATATATATATATATATATATGGTAGACAGCAACCACCCAGGGAGGTACTACCGTCCTGCCAAGTGAGTGTAAAACGAAGCCTGTGATTGTTTTACATGATGTAGGATTGCTGATGTCTTTTGTCTGTCTCATAAATATGCAAGATTACAGGCATGTCTTGCTACTTCACTTACACTTAGGTCACACTACACATACATGTACACATTTATTTATACACACTCAATCTGAGTTTTCTTTGATTTTATCTTAATAGTTCTTGGTCTTATTAATTTTCCCTTTTTATATCCATGGGGAAGTGGAATAAGATCTTTCCTCCGTAAGCCATGCGTGTTGTAAAAGTCAACTAAAATGCCGGGAACAATGGGCTAGTAACCCCTTTTCCTGTAAAGATTACTAAAAAGAATAAGAAAGAAGAAAATTGTCAAAGTGGGAAGTCTGAATGTGCGTGGATGTTGTGCAGATGATAAGAAAGAGATGATTGTGGATGTTATGAATGAGAAGAAGCTGGATGTCTGGTTTTAAGTGAAACAAAGCTGAAGGGGGTGGGAGAGTTTCAGTGGAGAGGAATAAATGGGATTAGGTCAGGGGTTTTCAAATAGAGTTAGAGCTAAAGAAGGAGTAGCAATAATGTTGAAGGATAAGCTATGGCAGGAAAAGAGGGACTATAAATGTATTAATTCAAGGATTATGTGGAGTAAAATAAAGATTGGATGTGAAAAAGTGGGTTATAATAAGCGTGTATGCACCTGGAGAAGAGAGAAGTGTAGAGGAGGAGAGAGATTTTGGGAAATGTTGAGTGAATGCGTGGGGAGTTTTGAATCAAGTGTGAGAGTAATGGTGGTTGGGGATTTCAATGCTAAAGTGGGTAAAAATGTTATGGAAGGGAGTAGTAGGTAAATTTGGGGTGCCAGGGGTAAATGTAAATGGGGAGCCTTTAATTGAGCTATGTGTAGAAAGAAATTTGGTAATAAGTAATACATATTTTATGAAAAGAGGATAAATAAATATACAAGGTATGATGTAGCACGTAATGAAAGTAGTTTATTAGATTATGTATTGGTGGATAAAAGGTTGATGGGTAGGCTCCAGGATGTACATGTTTATAGAGGGGAAAACTGATATATCGGATCATTATTTAGTTGTAGCTACAGTTAGAGTAAGAGGTAGATGGGAAAAGAGGAAGGTGGCAACAACAAGTAAGAGGGAGGTGAAAGTGTATGAACTAAGGGAGGAGGAAGTTCGGGTGAGATATAAGCGACTATTGGCAGAAAGGTGGGCTAGTGCAAAGATGAGTAGTGGGGGGGTTGAAGGGGGTTGGAATAGTTTTAAAAAATGCAGTATTAGAATGTGGGGCAGAAGTTTGTGGTTATAGGAGGGTGGGTGCAGGAGGAAAGAGGAGTGATTGGTGGAATGATGAAGTAAAGGGTGTGATAAAGAGAAAAAGGTAGCTTATGAGAGGTTTTTACAAAGCAGAAGTGTTATAAGAAGAGCAGAGTATATGGAGAGTAAAAGAAAGGTAAAGAGAGTGGTGAGAGAGTGCAAAAGGAGAGCAGATGATAGAGTGGGAGAGGCACTGTCAAGAAATTTTAATGAAAATAAGAAAAAATTTTGGAGTGAGTTAAACAGTTAAGAAAGCCTAGGAAAATATGGATTTGTCAGTTAAAAAACAGAGTAGGGGAGTTAGTAGATGGGGAGATGGAGGTATTGGGTAGATGGCGAGAATATTTTGAGGAACTTTTAAATGTTAAGGAAGAAACAGAGGCAGTAATTTCATGCACTGGTCAGGGAGGTATACCATCTTTTAGGAGTGAAGAAGGCAGAATGTAAGTGTGGGGGAGGTACGTGAGGCATTACGTAAAATGAGAAGGGGGTAAAGCAGCGGGAACTGATGGGATCATGACAGAAATGTTTAAAAGCAGGGGGGATATAGTGTTGGAGTGGTTGGTACTTTTGTTTAATAAATGTATGAAAGAGGGGAAGGTACCTAGGGATTGGCAGAGAGCATGTATAGTCCCTTTATATAAAGGGAAAGGGACAAAAGAGACTGTAAAAATTATAGAGGAATAAGCTTACTGAGTATACCAGGAAAAGTGTACGGTAGGGTTATAATTGAAAGAATTAGAGGTAAGACAGAATGTAGGTTTGCGGATGAGCAAGGAGGTTTTTAGAGTGGGTAGGGGATGTGTAGATCAAGTGTTTACATTGAAGCATATATGTGAACAGTATTTAGATAAAGATGGGGAAGTTTTTATTGCATTTATGGATTTAGAAAAGGCATATGATAGAGTGGATAGAGGAGCAATGTGGCAGATGTTGCAAGTATATGGAATAGGTGGTAAGTTATTAAATGCTGTAAAGAGTTTTTATGAGGATAGTGAGGCTCAGGTTAGGGTGTGTAGAAGAGAGGGAGACTACTTCCCGGTAAAGTAGGTCTTAGACAGGGATGTGTAATGTCACCATGGTTGTTTAATATATTTATAGATGGGGTTGTAATGGAAGTAAATGCTAGGGTGTTTGGGAGGGGTGGGATTAAATTTTAGGGAATCAAATTCAAAATGGGAATTGACACAGTTACTTTTTGCTGATGATACTGTGCTTATGGGAGATTCTAAAGAAAAATTGCAAAGGTTAGTGGATGAGTTTGGGAATGTGTGTAAAGGTAGAAAGTTGAAAGTGAACATAGAAAAGAGTAAGGTGATGAGGGTGTCAAATGATTTAGATAAAGAAAAATTGGATATCAAATTGGGGAGGAGGAGTATGGAAGAAGTGAATGTTTCAGATACTTGGAGTTGACGTGTCGGCGGATGGATTTATGAAGGATGAGGTTATTCATAGAATTGATGAGGAAAAAAGGTGAGTGGTGCGTTGAGGTATATGTGGAGTCCAAAAAACGTTATCTATGGAGGCAAAGAAGGGAATGTATGAAAGTATAGTAGTACCAACACTCTTATATGGGTGTGAAGCTTGGGTGGTAATGCAGCAGCAAGGAGACGGTTGGAGGCAGTGGAGATGTCCTGTTTCAGGGCAATGTGTGGTGTAAATTTTATGCAGAAAATTCGGAGTGTGGAAATTAGGAGAAGGTGTGGAGTTAATAAAAGTAAATTTGTCAGAGGGCAGAAGAGGGGTTGTTGAGGTGGTTTGGTCATTTAGAGAGAATGGATCAAGTAGAATGACATGGAAAAACAATATAAATCTATAGGGGAAGGAAGGCGGGGTAGGGGTCGTCCTCGAAAGGGTTTGGAGAGAGGGGGTAAAGGAGGTTTTGTGGGTAAAGGGCTTGGACTTCCAGCAAGCGTGCGTGAGCGTGTTAGATAGGAGTGAATGGAGACGAATGGTACTTGGGACCTGACGATCTGTTGGAGTGTGAGCAGGGTAATATTTAGTGAAGGGATTCAGGGAAACCGGTTATTTTCATATAGTCGGACTTGAGTCCTGGAAATGGGAAGTACAATGCCTGCACTTTAAAGGAGGGGTTTGGGATATTGGCAGTTTGGAGGATATGTTGTGTATCTTATATGTGTATGCTTCTAGACTTGTATTCTGAGCACCTCTGCAAAAACAGTGATAATGTGCGAGTGTGGTGAAAGTGTTGAATGATGATGAAAGTATTTTCTTTTTGGGGATTTTCTTTCTTTTTTGGGTCACCCTGCCTCGGTGGGAGACGGCCGACTTGTTGAAAAAAAAAATATATAAATAATATATATATATAATATATATATATATATATATATATATATTATATATATATATATATATATATATATATATAAATATATGAGGGGTGTTAATGTTGCAGTTTAAAAACTGTAGTGTAAAGCACCCTTCTGGCAAGACAGTGATGGAGTGAATGATAGTGAAAGTTTTTCTTTTTCGGGCCACCCTGCCTTAGTGGGAATCGGCCAGTGTGATAATAAAATATATTTTAATATATATATATATAATATATATATATTATATATATATATATAATATATATATATATATAAAAATGAGAGGAAGCTTAGATTGATAGGATAAAGACAGAAGTGCTAAAAGCAGGTGGGGATATAGAAAATGAAGTGGTTGGTGCTATTATTTAATAAATGTATGGAAGAGCGTTAGGTACCTAGAGCATGTATAGTTCCTTTGTATAAAGGCAAAGGGATTAAAAGAGAGTGCAAAAATTATAGGGAAATAAGTCTGTTGAGTATACCTGGCAAAGTGTATGGTACAGTTATTATTGAGAGAATTAAGAGTAAGACGGAGAATAGGATAGCAGATGAACAAGAAGACTTTAGGAAGGGTAGGTCGCCATTTTCATATCTAGATGTTTTATGAATTTCGTCCTATAACAGCTTACTGCACTCTATATCAAGGTTTGGGGGCCTATAAATCACACCCAAAATTAATTTGTTATGCTCCTCGAGAAACTGTAGCCAAACAGATTCTGTGTTCGATGTTTCTAAGCTTATATCATGTCTTAGACAACAATTTAAATTATCTCTGACATACATCGCCACACCACCACCCTTCCTGTTGACCCTATCAGTGTGGAATAGTTATAACCGTGTATGTTGCATTCAGAAGTCATTTCTCTATCTTTCAGGTTGAACCAGGTCTCTGTTATAGCAATAACATCTATATTACCTGCACTTGCAAGTAATCTTAGCTCATCTATCTTATTTCTTAGACTCCTACTATTTGTATAGTAAACCTAGAGGGAGCTAGTCACTCGTTGCCCTCTTCTCTCTCTCTTTGTTTGTTGATCAATTGATTTGCATTTCCTAGCAACTTTATTTTGAATATTGTCTTTTAAACATATCCCTGAGGTATCCCGGTAATATGTGCTGTTTTCAACCCTAATACTGGATCCTGATTGTTTCCCGCAAACACCCATACCTCTATAATCTATCAGTTTAAAGTCTTAGACAAGTCATCAATTACCCCCTCAATTGAATTGGCTAATGCAACCACTCCAACCCCAGAGAGATGAACCCCATCCCTTGCATACATATCACGTTTGCCATAGAATTTGTCCCAGTTGTCAATGAATGCGATTGCAAGTTCCTTGCAGTACCAGTCTAGCCAGTAATTTATACCAATTGCCCTAGACATCCACTCATTGCCCACTCCCTTTCTAGGCAAGATGCTACATATGACTGGGATCCCTGCCTTAGACCTGACTACTTCTATGGCTGACCTGTACTTATCCAGCAGCTCCTGTCTCCTGCCCTTCACAATGTCATTACCCCCAGCACTAAGACAGATAATGGGCTTGTTCCCATTAACTGACATAATATTGTCCAACCTGTTGACTATGTCACCAACACAAGCTCCTGGGAGGCACACCCTCTGTCTGACCTTTCTGTCTCTGTTACAAAAAGCACAGTCCATATATCTTACCTGAGAATCTCCTACAATTAGAATATTCTTACCTTGATTAGCAGGGGAATCAGTGGTACCTTCAACCTCACTAACCACTGAAGTACACTCCTCTTGGAGAACAGAGAATGGATTTCCTACCTTCACATCTTCTCTGTTAACCCTCCTCATCTTCCTTCTTCCTGAACTTTGAACCACTTGCCACTTAAAGCGGCTGCCACTGTCACTGCTGGTGACCAGTTCCTCCTTACCAGCTAAATCCATCTCACACTCACTCCCAAACCCATCTAGGAGAAGCTTCAGCCTCCTATTTTCCTTCTGAAGAAGTAGAACTTCCTTCTTCAACACTTGAACCTGAGATTCTAAAACACTACAACAAGCCATGGTGCTTGGTAACAGCCCACGCTAACTCCCAGAGAGCTTAGAGCAGGTATGACCACATGTGGCCACTGACCTCAGAGGTACTTGTCAATTTTCTTTTTGAATAATTCTACACTACCTCTGGCAGTATTTCTGATGTCTTCTGGTAAGATGTTAAAAAATCTGGGACCACGGATGTTGATACAATGTTATATTATTATGCCAATGGCGTCCCTGCTTTTCACTGGGTTCATTCTACATTTTGTCCCACATTTTTTTTTTCAGTATATTGTGTGTGGATTAGGAATTAGGCTCTCAAGTGTCTTTCATGCATTCCCAGTAATTTATGTTTTAATTTGTGTAACTGGGCTGTAAATGATCTCTGTATCTGTTCGGGCTATGATATCTGTTGCTGCCCCGAACGGAGCCATCAACGCTGAAGAATACTATTAACGATTGCGTACAAGCGGTTTGAAAAGGGCCACCATTGGTAATTTCCTTTGTTCTGAAAGTTCTCATTGTCCATCCTATCTGATTCCCACGACACATTTTTTTGTGGCAACGTTTCGCTCTCCAGGAGCTTTATCAAACCGTTACACTCTAGTATCGATTTGATAAAGCTCCTAGAGAGCGAAATGTTGCCACAATAAAATGTGACATTAGTTGTACTTATGTACTTACTTAACATATTGTCGGTAATTCTACCATCGTTAATATGAACATCACGTAATTTTCTACTATCCATTGGAAGAATTTGCTTATATCTTCTTGCTATTTTTCAGAGTCTTCTACCAAAGTGATTTTCATATATATTTTTGTATTATCCTCATATGTTGATATAAAACTTTAGCGACTGTTTTTATCTATGTTTGGTATGAGGATAAGAAACAGTAAAGGCGCCATAATCATGTGATGAGAAAGTGAGTTTTTTATTGGGAAAATGTTAGACTTTACTGTTTACTAATACTCTTTGTATTCTGTTTATCTGAATTTAAATATCCATTTTCCCACTCTTCTCGTTATCACCCTCATTCTGCTGAAGAGGATCCCAGAAGAGGATCGAAATATACAGACTAATTTTGTCTCCATGTGAGTTATTATTGAGCAGTGACAAGTGTTCATTACACTTTAGTTATCCATAAGTGTATAGATGTGAGTAACACTGTGCTGCTGCAGCTGGGCATGACGGAGGTGCAGGTGCTGGAGGCGACGAAACTGGCAGTACACAGAGTCAACCAACTCACTCTCGTACCCGGAATCAAACTAGGTCAGTGATTTCTTTTTTTTTTTTTTTAATAATAGCACCCATCACGTCACAGGTTTTATTTTGTCGCATTTCAGTAAGTTTTTCCATTAAAATTGTTTCCCGAATACGCATTCTTAAAAAATAATAAAAAAAATAAATAATAATTTTAATAATAATAATAATAATAATAAAAAAGCATACAAGCCTAAAACATAAAAATAAATAAATATAAAAGCCATTATAATGGCAATAAAATAAACAAAATTCCAGAAACAACTTGTTTTCTGTAACATTTTAGTGAAATTTTTGGCTTGGTGTGATTCGTAGACCCTTTTTCATATTAGGTGAATATTGGACAGTCTACCCATATTTTTCCCTCGACCAATTGTAGCCTTTCCCTCTTGTAGTTTTTATTTTTTCGCACAGAAAACCAGTCAACTGGAAATGGGAAAATTGCTTTAGAATTGCCAGGGCTTTTATCCAACTTAAGGATATTCTTTCTTAATCTCTATCCAGAATTCGTCCGGGGGCACTTCCTTTTTATTTTTTCGACTCCAACATTACGCTTTTCATTTAATTCCTTTTCATGACCACAAATCGTAATATAAGAGGGAAGCAAATAAACCCAGGGAGGGGGTTTAAAACCCCGCGATCAGAGAGCACAAAACTCCGCCCGCGCGTTACCCGGGCCAGCTGGCCATGGCCGGGGTTTTTTAATTTCCCTCTTCTGTGAGAAGTTTCGACGGGTTTGGATACTGATGCAATAATTGGTTTTCTCAACCGGTCAAGCTTCCCTACATAATTTTGGGGTTAAAAAAATTTTGTTTTTTTTTCTGCAAGTACTTCAAGCCCCAAAAAGTAAATGGCAGGATCCCCTTTCATTCTTTTTTGCAGAACGGTGGCAACAAAAACCATGTTCCCTTCTTCACTCTGACACCCAAATTCTTATTTATCTCTCAGAGATTAATTTTGTCAGTTGCCTTCAGTTAAAAATTTACTTTGTTTAAATGTTCGAAGATATCCCTCAGTAGGATAATTTTTAGCCCAAGGGGTTCCCAAGCAACACACGATTTTCTTCTTGCTGCTCAAGGGTAAAAAACAGTAACACACCTTGATTTCATACACCATAATGCTTTGCTCCAACTTCTTAATATTTTTGCCAAAAAGCGTGATTGAAATAGACAACTTTCTTTTATTATTCACCATTTTAAAACTTTGTCTAGTACAGCCTTCAATTTTCCCGATTGTTCTTGCAACAGCCCCTCACGTTTAAAAAGTATGTGGTTGTTTACGTAAAAAAAGGTTCAAAAAAAGGGAAAAATTGGGGGAAATTAGACACTCTGCACACTTGGTATCTGTAAACGTTTCGCAAACCCAGTCCATACAAAGAATGGCTGAAGATCAGAAGGAGTTTGGGGTAATCAGCCCCGAAACCTGACAAATGTGCGGAGACGTAGGTTATGACGAAACAGGTGGGGGAAAGCAGTCTAACGTGCATTTTTGACAAATCTTTAGGGGGAATAGATTATGCCATGATGAACCACTGGTGTCAAAATGTTTCCTCATAAAGTACCAAGTGCTCGCATACCTTTTTTAAAATTTTTTGTCGGTTTTCTCTAAACCCATTTATATACATTCCGTAAGACACAGAAAATCTTGGGTTCTTGATAGGGAAAAATTCTTCACTTGCCTAACCTTTAAGCAAAACCACTTCCTTGGGGTTTATCCAAGGTGCATACCTATGACTGCTTCACCTACCTTCTACAGTATAAAGCTCCGTCTCCTCAAAATGCGTACCCCATCAAGACAACGGCTGATCACTCGACTCCGGGCTAGAGACTGATTCCCTCAAAACCCCTTCTGATTTCAACTATTCTTCTCTGTTTTGAACCAGGAAGCCACTGGTTGGGCGAAAGTTTACAGAATAGATACCCAAGTGTTGCACAGTGTTTAATTCATCACTCTTTGTTATGACATCACTTTTTTTTACCTGGAGGGAAAATTTTTTTTTTCTTACTCTTGGCTCTCAACATTTTGTTTACTATGACTGCACCTGGGAGATATGTCTCTCTGTCGTATGGGCTTCATTTTACTGAGAATTCGCTCTAAGTAGCTTTTCTTCTAAAATTTGTTAAAAATTTTTGACTCTTTTAGAAAATATCAGCTTGATGTCTCATTTAAAAGTTCTAAAAGTTTGATGGAGCTTGTTAGTAGGAGACACGTTTCACAGTGAAATTTTCCTTTAAAATTCGGGCTCCCCTGGTTTCAGGCCATTTAATCACCAAAAAAACCACTTCTGGCGGGGATTAACTTCATCCCACAACACGTAAACCCAGATCAAATAACTCCCCAAATATAGACGATTTTTCATTCTTCTATTCAATCAGTTTAGGGGAAGTGGGACCTTTTGTTTCTTTTTCATTTTTTTTCGTGTTCACAAATTGTAAAGTTAATTTAAAAAGGGAAGCATGTGTAACACGTTGTGGAAAGTGATAAAGTGACTAGTTAATCTCCCTGGCAAGTCAACACGTCAAGACGAAAACCCAGTCGTAAGGACAAACCAAACCGGGGGTGGGGTTAAAACCCCCGGATCAGAGAATTCAAAACCCCAGACCTCGGGTTAGCCACGGTCATGGCAACCCCGGGGTCGGGATTTTTGGACTCTCTCATGGGGGTTTCAACCCCACCCGTTGTATGGTTTTTTTTTTTTGTAATCGTGTCATTATGATTTCAAGAGTCATATAAGGGGCAAAACAAACTGCAAAATTGTAAACAAAGAAAAAATGATTTTAAAAACCAAAAACAAAAGGTGACAAAAGAATTTTAAATTTAATTTTTCCCCCTTCATGAGCTTTTTTTTAATATTTAAAATGTATTTACCATTTTACTATAATATTTATATTAATTTACATCTTTCGAAAAAAATTTTAACAACTCTTTTGTTTTAGTTAATTAACGACAAATTCAGTCAAAAAAATGGATGTTTTAATCAGCGGCCCCCGTGGCCACTGCTCCCCTGATATCCAGTGGCACACCAGTGGCCGCTGCTCCCCTGATACTGCCAGTGGCACACCCGTGTGCCCCTGCTCCCCCCGATACTGCCAGTGGGACACCAGTGTGCCACTGCCCCCCTATACTGCCGTGGGGACCCATGTGCCCGTCCCCCGAACTGCCGGGCACCCAGTGTGCCACTGCTCCCCGATACTGCCCCTGGGACACCATGTGCCCCCCCCCCTATACTGCCAGTGGCACACCATGTGCCACTGCCCCCCCGATACGCCGTGGCACACCATGGCCGCGCCCCCTGATACTGCCCTGGCACCCATGTGCCACTGCTCCCCTGATACTGCCAGTGGGACACCCGTGGCCACTGCTCCCCGAAAATGCCAGGGGGCCCATGTGCCACTGTCCCCGATACTGCCATGGGGACACCGGGCCCCTGCCCCCTATACTGCCAGTGGCAACCCTGTGCCACGCTCCCCAACTGCCAGTGCACACCAAAGTGCCACTGCCCCCTGATACTGCCCCGTGGGACACCCTGTGCCATGCTCCCTGTACTGCCCGGGCACACCAGTGTGCCGCTCTCCCCCAAAAATGCCAGGACCCATTGCCGCTGCTCCCCGATACTGCCAGGGCCACCCTGTGCCACTGCCCCCTATACTGCCAGTGGCACACCGTGTGCCACTGTCCCCTGTACTGCCATGGCACACCAGTGGCCCTGCTCCCCCCGAACTGCCTGGCACACCAGTGTGCCACGCTCCCCTGTACTGCCAGTGGGACACCCTTCCGCTGCTCCCCTGATACTGCCAGTGGCACACCCTGTGCCGCTGCTCCCCTGAACGCCATGGCACACCATGTGCCCTGCCCCCCTGTACTGCCATGGCACACGAGGGGCCGCTGTCCCCCGATACTGCCAGTGGGACACCAAGTGCCGCTTTCTCCCCTGATACTGCCATGGCACACCGTGGCCGCTGCCCCCTGATATGCCAGTGGCCACCAGTGTGCCGCTCTCCCCTAACTGCCAGTGGCACACCTGTGCCGCTGCTCCCCCCCTCTGCCAGTCACACCATGTGCCGCTGCTCCCTGATACGCAGTGGCACACCAGTGTGCCGTGCTCCCCGATACTGCCATGGCACACCCGTGCCACGCCCCCTGAAATGCCAGTGGCACCCGTGTGCCCCTGCTCCCCTGAACTGCCATGGGGACAAGTGACCGTGCTCCCCGTTCTGCCAGTGGCACCCGTGTGCCCGCTCCCCTGATACTGCCGTGGCACACCAGTGTGCCGCGCTCCCCCGAAACTGCCAGGGCACACCCGTGGCCCTCTCCCTATCTGCCAGTGGACACCAGTGTGCCACTGCCCCCTGATACTGCCGTGGCACCCAGGGCACTGCTCCCCGTAAAGCCAGGGGCAACCAGTGTGTCCGGCACCTCTGATATACCAGGGTCACCCGTAGCCGGCACCCCCGATTTCTACCCGTGGGGACACCATGTGTCGGGCCACCCCTATAACCCAGGGCACACCTGGTCGCGGCACCCCGATTCTACCAGGGCCACCCGTGTTGCGGCACCCGGTTGAGAAACAATGACTAGGCAGACCGGACTTTGGGTGCAGGCCCAAAGGGAACAATTTTTGTGGCGCCATTTATGGAAAACAATCAAAAAATTGCGCTTAAAAAAAGCCCGGATTAATAGACCCACATTTTTAATTACATTTAATATACAACTGCAGACTGTAAGTCTACAAGTAACAAACAAAATTTAATATCATCCTGAAGGTACATAGTCACGTACCACTTGCTTTTCTGCCTGAAAAGTAATGTCACAGTACCACTTTCTTTACTGACTCTGAAAGTAATAGACAGTACCAACCTTTACTGACTCTGAAAAGTACTAGTCACAGTCCACTTGCTTTTTGACTCGAAAAGTACAAGTCGCAGTACCCTTGCTTTATGACTCTGAAAAGACGTAGTCACATACCACTTGCTTTACTGCCTCTGAAAAGTACATAGTCACCCAGAACCCCCTTGCTTTACGATCTGAAAATACAT